TGGGAGCCTATGATAGCCTCGGGAGAGGACTCGGATGGAGAGCCTATACCACTTAACAGCACTAGAAGGAGACCCAGTGGATCGCCTGAGCGAGTGAGTGTGAACTGTGCGGGAAAATATGCACATGGTCAACTACATGTATGGGAAAATTTTGGGGAGATTTTTGTTGATTTCCGAACGTTTCTACCCTAACTCGTATAACTAGTGAGGAACCTCTCTGAGCTCAGCTGAGGGAAGCGAACATATATTCCCCCTACACGGTTGTGTGGTATTGATGATGAACTATGTGTTAGGTGTTAAAACGAGAGGTGGTCGACAGCGATGAGGACCCTGTGTATAGAGAATGGCATTTCTGGATTGAACTCGAGTTCAAACCAACGCGAACTGAATGCCAAGATACGGAGTGTATCGTCTACGATCATCTAGACTGTGGGGATGTGGCGACGACGTTGTTCCTGTCGAAGTGGTGGCTTGGGAATACTGATGCTAGGGTGAGTGTACTGGTATATCAGGAGTCTGTGAATTCTCTGAATTCTAGGTGAGGATAGACGACCCGATCATGGAGCACTGTGGAGGGCCTGTGGGAGCATCTAGGCTCGTGGACCAGCGAGAACTACCGGTGAGTCAACGCCGTCGTTGGCTGATTAATGAGTATAGTGGAGCTGCACCTGTTTTACGTGAACTGGTGAAATATGCTGCGGATATGCAGTAGTCGTGAAATATATGTTTCATATCACGGTCTTGAAACTCCAGTGTGCGCTCGACTTGACCTTTTATAGTGATCGTATGGGTCCATGTTGTTTCTCTTAGTATGACGCGAAGGATCCTCTAGAGTGTAACGCGGTGACACTGCCTATCATGATGGATGCTAGCAATGGGTATGTGGTGACAGCGGACTGTGGCCCTAGGAGGGATAGTGTCACCATGGTTACCTGTGATGGGCTCGAATGGGCACAGCTCTTTGCTCATGGTTGGGGGGATATGGAGAAAGCAGGAGTAGGTTCTCATTTGGGGTCGATGTTGAAGGACGTATATATGTTGTTTATATATACTTATATTATAAATTTACTATATTTTATCTTATGGTGACAATTGAATGTTATACGGTTATTGTTTTTATCAATAGTTATACTACCTTTAAAAGTACTAGACTTGTCATATTCCGAAATTTTGAGGAATAAGATTATTCCTATTATGTGTATAAAATTAGGGAGGAAAAATGAATTATGAAGATTGCATTAAAAGTTGATATCATGATCTCAATGAATATAGATATATATTCCTATTCCTAATTCTATTGTTGTTATTAGGATGTATATTACTGATTTAGGTGGCGCTGCCGACTGAGGTTATAGAGAGCTGTAAGCAGGGCTTGATAGGCGATCGAGAGGTTGAGCTCACTGGAGCTTACTATGATGATGAAACACGATATTTGATAGTAGGAGAGAATTGATCGGATTCGGGGGGGATGGCTTGCTTGTCAGTTCGCTTCGATGGAATCTCCGATAGAGTGTGGCGCCGTGGTGGAAGCTCCTGAGGATATGGATTTGGTTAATGAGTTCCACGTGAAGGTTGACTGTGGAGGAAAGGACGGAGTTATTTTGAGATGTGATGATGCTGGCAGTGCGGTGACTATGGCGTTCCAGTGGGGGAAGTACCCGAAACAAGAGGTGACAGTCCGCGATTGAATGAGAGGTTTGTCGACATGTCTGTGGTCAGGTTCGGGTGAGCAGTGAGTTACTACTGCAGTGTGACGATCTACCCAATGGACAAGTACTGGACGATTTGACCTACGATGTTGGCATGGACGGCAAGTGGCAGGGAACACCGAGACGTTGGGTGGGTCTTTGCCGTAGTTTATTATTGATAGCCTATGTTACTTTCAGGGCGATGCTGTGTGTAGTACACCAGTACCGGACTTGGTCTTTAGAGGGGACAGGATATACATCATAACGGCTTGTGGACACTCTAAGGAGGAGATCTCGTGTGGTGGACTTGATAGTGTTGGAACTATGCTGAGGATAGCTGCTCGGTGGGGTGAACACCCGGACCCTAGGGTGAGGCATTGGCTTCATATCAGTTATATTTCTAGTGCTTGTGTGATCAGATCATGATAGATGGATCGGTGGTTGAACACTGTAAGGATGTGGAGAACTTGAATGGAGGGACTTTGACTGAGGCCTGGATTACTGCTGCTATTGACGGCAAAGTCTCGGGCAGATTCCTCAAGGTGAGCTCAGCAGTGTGGGAGAATATTCACATGGTCAACTACGTGTGTTGGTGAAAATGTGGAAACTATGAGGAATTTTCTTACCAATTTTCGCAGAAACTTCAGAATGAAGTTTCAAAGAACTAAGAACACTTTCTGTACACTTATACCCGAATTCGTATGTAAACTCTTTAGCTCAGCTGAGGGAAGCGAACATATATTCCTCCAATAGTAAACACGAGAAAGTTGATGTTTGTTGTGTTTTCAGACTACTACTGCATACGACTGTTACTATGGTGTAAGGGAGCCACTTGTGGTCGATGGAGATTCTATCAATATGATGACTAAGTGCAGTGGAGTGCAGTCGGAAGTGTTGGTCCAGTGCGATGATAGCAGCGCTGTGGAATTCGCCGAGAACTGGGGAGGTTTCGATGGGAGTGCAGCGGTAGGTGGGAATAGCTTTCCGGCTTGAGGCGATCTGAGTAGCTTTTAAATTATTAAAAAGGACGGTGCTGGGAATTGAACCCGGGACCATTGCTATCAGATCGGTCTCGATGGGTCGAAGTACGATTCCTGCAAAGTGAAGCCAGTGGGTAGGGAGGAATATGAGAGTATCAGCGTAGTGCTCATGGACTTGGCCACCAAAGCGAAGATGATGCAAGTAGGCATGCAGACGCTTATCTTCAGAGTGATGGAGTTGAAGGGCGTTCGAGTTCGTATGGTGATTATAATATAACTAATTATATCACAGTTCGTGCCCATTTGATATGCAAATGTTAAAAATGAGCGTTTTCCCGAGATTGATGATAATCGTTCTGATACTACGCAGATAGAATGTAAGCATTGCTACGAACATGTACTGTGAGAAACATAATCGTTTGAAGCTGTGGTGGAGACAAACTACCCATTATGGCATCTCGCGCTGGCAAAATGATCATTTTTCTTCACATCTGCATATCAAATTGGCACGCACTGTTGTTAGGTAGTTGAGTAGGTTGGTTAACTGTATTTAGTTTCAACACGATTCGCTTGTAACGTTACGCAGCTGTCAATGACGATTTGTGAGTGTTGTCTCCCTCAGTTTGGAAGCGATGACACTCCGGTGGTTTGCAAGTCGACTAGCACGACGCCTCCGGTTGTGATTGTGAAGAAGGGCACGACAACTGCTATATATCGATTCAGCTTGGAGTGCGCTGCTGGTGAAGTGACAGTCTCATGTACAGAGGCTGGTGACGCGGTGGACCTGAATACCTTCATGGGCTTCCCTACTCGAGAGGTGAGATGCACTCGGGTGATTTAGGAAGGCATTCAACTCATTTGACAGGTTGCAGTACCAGAAACGACTCAGTGCAAAAGCAAGCATGGTGTGAATCCTCTGAGTGCTACCATAGAAATCGCTGCTGACGGGTCGGAGGGGTTGAGGTACCTCACGTGGCCTAAGGAGTACATAGTGGAACATGAACCAAAGCCTGAGGTGAGTTCCGAGACGGAGATACTTCTTAGATTAGGTCCTTTCTCATTTTCTTGAGTCTTAGCCAGTGTGGGAATATATGCTTGGTTCTTTCAAGTGAGCTCGTCAGTTTTCTCACTATATTATGAAAATCCATTCACGATTTCGTGTAGAAGTGTAAAGAAACCAACGATAACTTCCCAAATTATTCCTACTAACAGCTGTAGTTGGCCATGTGCATATTATCCCTCACTGGTCTCAGCTTAGGTCGCTTTTTCGATGGCCGTATGTAGGTTCCCTCTCTACCTGTTACCCCAGCATCGAGTCCTTCTCGGGGGCCTAGTTTCGAGAGCTCTGCTCGAGCCAACTATGGGGGATTCCGCAATTCTGAAGGAGCAGTGAGTGATCGATGATACCACATCCACCGCTACTGTATCACTTGTAGGATAACGTCCTTTCCACGAGAGCGGTTCCCACCTCTGCGGCTATCCCCACTACAACAACTCAGGTGAGGCTGGCAGGATGGGCATTGGGGTCAGACTGTTGACGAATGTCAGACACCGAGTGGGCATCAGCAAGGAGGAGGAGGAGACAGTCGGCCAAGACACAGAGCGACTTTGGAGGTATGTCGGAAAATTCTAAGTTGAATTGATGGGAATGTTTCAGATCAGTGATAAGCATCATCGACGAGGACGAGGCTATCACGTGAAGGTGAGTACCACAGCGACATCATTCGGTATGTGAATGTTTGTGCGACTGTCAGCCCACTCGTGTTGGGAAGCAACACCCACATGCAAACACACAACGTAGAGGCGGCCACCATGGGAAACCATCTAACAACAGGGTGAGCTCGAGCTCCCGTTGTATTAGGTTGCATGTTTGGGTAGGTGTTCCCACGGAGAGCGGAAAACCATGGTAGGGGAACCATACCACGCCTTCCTCACTTCGGCCAACTACCTAGCTTCATCGAAATCGGGCCGGGCTCGAACTCGGTGAGTGGCGGCCGTACTCCGCTGGCTTATTGTGTCTTATTTCATAGGAGTCTCGTAAAGCCGTTCGCCCTATGACTGGTGATCCCATTTATCGAGATTGGTATTTCGGGATTGACATTGACTATGTCGTGAGTGGATGCTCTTCTGGAGAGAACTGTGCTGTTGTTGAACATCTCGACTGTGGGAGTGTCGAGAACACTTTGTATGTTGCCACTTGGTGGGGTGGCAGGAAGAATTCCAGGGTAGAACCGGTGTGTGTCTGCGTGCTAGTGGATGACCTCAGATCCGCATAGACGATTCCATCATGGAGCATTGTGGAGGTCCATTGGGTGCATCGAGGGTGGTCGGCCAACGGGAGCTACCGGTATGGTGGAAGTGTATAGTTGTGATTGATGCCTGGCCTGGTCCTCAGCTCGATCCAGCAAGGCCTCTCTCGTGTGCGCCGGTCACAACACCTATCATCAACCGTGGTGCGAAGGGCCATGTAGTGGTTGCTTACTGTGGACCACAGTTCAAGGAGAGGCACGAGGTTCGATGTGACGCCTCTATTTGGGCTCAGCACTTTGCTTACGGCTGGGGTGACTCTGACAATAGCGGAGTAAGCCGCAGCTCCTGATGGTGTTATTGTATGGTCGTTGTCCTCTCGTTCAGTTGGACATATCACCTGACCTTGTTAAGGCATGTCGAAAGGTCACAGTAGAGCATATAGATAACCTTCACACGCTGCTGTCGGCGTCGCTGAAGGGTGCCACGATAAGGCCTGGTAGCAGCAATGACGGAAATAACTTCAGGACTAAAAGGGAACTCAAGGTATCAACTGTGAGTATATTCCCACTCGTAATAAACTTTTGTTCAGTTAACGTTCCACGTGTCACCATATCGATATGAGCCCTCTATATTCCATTATCATTGTGAACGTGTGACTACTGCGGTGGAGATCCCTGAACAGCCCGGTGCCCCACGAGTGGCCTCCGTCAGAGCCCTCTGTGATTTCGATGACTCCCATAAGGCCTTTGTGAAGTTGGAATGCCCTGAGTCGGCAGCTATCACATTTGCTATCAAATGGGGAGGATTTTCCCAGCGTGCGGTAGGACTATAGCTAGTCACTGCTCAACACAGCACTTCCTCTAGGTTGGTCTTGGTCCTGAGATCATGTCTCATTCGACCAAAGTGGTCCGTGGGTCTGAGGATTTGGGACCGGCCATAGCTGCTACTATGGGGGAGGATAGAGGCAATACTACTTACAGGTGAGAAGAGTGGTTACTGAGAATTCATAATGTGAATTCAGACTAAGAACGCTCCTGGCGTGTTCGTCTGCGATAAGGCGGAAGCCAAGATTGTACAGACTGAGGACCTGCAGTTCACTATAACCGTATCGTGTCCGTCGCATATCGTGGACTCGAGAGCCCAGGCGAATGCTGAGGCTGGGCTAACAGTTTACTTTGATGACACCTACGCTGCTATCGGCTTCCTAGTTAGATGGGGAAGAGTTACCGATGCCAAGGTGGTCAGTTGTATAAGCGATTCATTTTGGCCCGTTCCACGCGAGTTGTGAATGGTCTGGTATCAGGTTGAGTCATACTACGCCACTAAGTTCACTTCACCCGCTCCACAGGTGACCGTCAAGAATTCCCTCCCAGAAATACACGTTGATGTAAGCGTGGAAATTATTGCCGCTTTGATTTCTTGTCTTTATTCAGAACCACATTTGCAGTTGTCCAGCCAAAGCCCCTATAGTGTATTCCCCTCGAGGGGAGGCTCGAGTGACCTTCTCGAGCAAGCCACTGATCACAGTCACCTACAAGGACCGTATGGTTGCTATGGCGGCTGCTATGATTGCCGGTCATAGGCTGTCGGAAGTACGTTGAAGGCAGGCCTATGTGACTTATCGATTTGCTTAGATTGTATTGGACACTAACATCACTCACCATGTCACACACATTAGTGTTGATGATAATGTTTATATGGGGAAGGAGGAAGAGCATCCTCTCAAGCGTGTGGCGTTGCTCATTTCTGGCGAGCACAACAAAGTCGATGATCACATTATTGAGGTGAGCTGAGTCATTGAGGTTGGTTATTGATGTGAGCGTCTCAGATGCTGCGCCCTGACCTGGTAAGTGGTCCTCTGGAAGACTTCGGCCTAAGACGGTATCATTCTGTGGCCTACAACTGTGGTCGGCAGTCCGGGGTAGCTGTCGATGGGCTGACATACACAGTTAAATGTGAAGAGGGTGAAGTCCCACAAGGTTCCCGTCACCATTACTCTGCTAATTTGACCAATACTTCTCGCAAGGCGGTGGACATTACTTTGAAGTTCGACGACACTCAAGCTGTGACGGCATTCATATCGTTCTGGACGGACGATCAGAGGGATGCAGGCCCGAATGGGGAGGTGGATACCGGTGCAGTGGCAGCGCCACCGATAAATAGGCGACGGGACACTGCTATCATTAATGCTGTTGAGAGACCCGATGAGTCGAGGCTCAGCACAGGTCTTCGTGAAGTAGATTCTCCTGAGTCGACTCCCGTTAAGACGAACACTACTCACCCGGCTATTGTCGCTGATGAGAGTGAGATCGAATCGCCAACACTCGTTGAAGATAAGAAAGTTCGTCGTCATGTTGTGCGGCATAATATAAATAATGCCAACAAGTATAGAATGCGTGCATCTGTGTCTGAGTGAGATTAACATGTTATGTAGTCAACTGTTGTTATCAAATCCGTGTTGAGTTGTCAGGAGTTCATCACCTTCAAGCTGTGGATACTCTGGCGGGGACGCAAGCGATCGAATTTCATGAAAAGAGGGGAAAGGTGACAATTGTGGTCTGGTCCCACAGTGTGGGACCCACACTCACTTTCGCCAAGTGGGTCGTGGATATTACTAGATGATGATGTCGTGATAAATATAGTTTTTGCCAAGATGGTCAATAAGGCATGTTATACCGCCGCACATGGTGAAATGATGTGAATTGGGATTGCAATGCAATCATTCAATGATGCAATGATTATCATTGCATTGTTTGTTTAGACCAGAACTGTGCCATTCTACCTCTACCTTTTGCATAAGGAAGTTCAAAGGTCCATTATTGAATAATGGAATAATGATTATTCCCAACTCAGCGCCAAGAAATTCGATCCATGAGCTATATCAAAGAACAGTACGGCAATAATATTGTACGGGGTGCACATGAACATAAAGCATTCAACAAGGCTAGTGCATACAGGATCAGGGATCAGTGAAGGAAAACTCATCCGATGCTGCTCACAGATCATTCACTAAATGCTTGGGGGTTGCGGAGGTCGTGTCTCAACTAGTATCAATGCTAGATCCAATAAAGCTCTGTGAGTATCAAGGTTATATCAGTTATCTCACTCTGAAGGAAGTATCTGAAGCAATACAAGTTCACAGCGTTCCCGTTATCAACGACCCTCCACCGTCGAATGCATCACGGCATGAATTCCACGTGATAATTATAATGATCTTATATCTCTTACTCGGCTGACTCATAGTGTTCGCTTTTTTCAAAGTGTCTGTTACATGGGTTATCATTACGACAGCCACACAGCAGCTCCTAGATTCGATCCAAGGTTCCGTAGATTACGAGCCTAACACGCTATCCATTTTGCCAAGTCACTGTTTATATCTTATCCAACTCATTTGGTTGCACTTGATCCCCGGAAACGTCTCGCCTTAGCAAGGCCACAACATCCAATGCTCACTGATTGAGCGAGTCCAAACTGCGCCAATGCGATCAGAAAAGAAACATCGTTTCTGACTGACCAGGTTATTGACAAGTCGTGCCGCATGATTTTGTCGAAATCCGCCCGCTTAATTGCCCTTGGTCACCGAGATTCAGTGGATAATGTCGTAACTCTATGTCATCTCTGCGAATCGAACCTCGATCACCGTGCCACCATAGCAACAGTTGAAAACTCGATTCGAGTTTCCTGGACAATGTAATCGTTAATGGTATTCGACGTCATGTATTTTCTACAGCATTATCGCGACGCACATCCGAAAACTCGGGAATGCTGTTACGATAGTGAATACGAAAAGCAAAATATATTCTACCATCAGAATCGACTGCACAGAAGATGTTATTCCTATGAACACGGCGCTGATTTGAACATATGATGTGGCGAATGATGCCTCGGGGACACGCTCGTCCGAGCTAGACGGTACCCGGTCGGCGGAATAATCACCAGAAGCATGGTTAGTTTCTGAAGGTTTAGCGCGAGACATGCCGAATTTCTCGGAGAACGCCACGAAAGTTGTTCATATTCAGCAACCAAGCAGAGTTCGCCTCGACCATATTCGTGAATCATTGTCCCGGGGACAGGTTACCATATGCGTACGAGCGAATTTGAAAGAGTAGGGCAGTGCCGTTTGCAGGAATTCAATCCAACTCCGACTGCTCTACTCCCCAGGTGAACATTATCTCGTATAGGACTACACCGGGTTTTACCCAGCACCGATTCGGACAGGCGAGAAGTGGCTCACCTGGATCTCCCTCAGGGACGGTGACGGTGACGTGGCCGGCCATCCAACTCTGGTTTTGTATCAAGATGCTCCCATCTTGGATGCCCGCTACCGTATTATGGTCTCCAACCTCAATTTCATATCGCTCATTTACAGGCTACCATCACCATTGTTAGCATATGCTCGCTGGTTCACGTCGTCTTCTCAATACCTCAACACTAGCAAGTACTACGATCCCTGTAGCTAGGCCGACCATTCATCAAGCGATAGAGCCAGCATCGGTAGAAGTATGTAGCTCATAGATGGCAGCACCTGTACAGGGTCTTCCCCTCAGCTGGTCAGGGCTCCAAGGCTCTCCGTATTACCCCCGTTGGACACACTGGAATTCGGTAAGAAGTTCTCAGATCATATGCTGGAGATCGACTATAATATTGCCACTGGATGGGCGAGAGTAAGAGCTGAGATTCCACGGCGCCGCGGCTATGGTCATGACTTCAGCCACGTATAATGCCGATGAGCAATATCAAGCTGCATCCGGCATCCCCTGTACTTCACAATGCAGTGGGATGCTTTGAGGGAGTGAAAGTGTACAAAAATGTCCCATACCACATTTCCGTCACATCGTAGTGATCTGATTGCAGATACAGGGTACCTGAGGGCATCAGAGAGTTCCGCCTGTCCAGTAACATCGCTCGATTCGCCACTTCCATCAGACGCGGCGCGATGGCCGATCTCACCAAACGCGATGAGCAGTCCATGTAGTAGAGGAAATCAATGATATCAGTGGAATGAGCTGCTATTGGCAGATATGAGCTCATCAGGGAGCTTATTCTCATTGACGAGCACATGATACCATCAGAACCTGGTTATTCTCTCTACATTCGTCCAACGTGTATTGGAACTCAAGTAAGCGGTTGATATGCATCTTATCAGCAAGTCTTGGTAGGCTAGTCTTGGGGTATTTCCCCCTACAGCTGCCAAAATATTCGTCATCACCTGTCCTGTCGGCCCGTAGGGTTCCTCTGCTTTGGTCCAGGAACGATGTGTGAAGATAGATACTATAGATCAGGGTTCAAACCAGTGTCGCTGTTAGCATCGACGAAAACTGTCCGTGCGTGGCCAGGAAGTAGTGAGGACAATGGCTCCATCTAGGCATCTATCATCTGTTATAGGCACTGGGGCTCAGAAGCTTGGTAGTAACTATGGTCCGACACTACTACCCTTGCGGGAAGCTGTGAGTGCTCGCCATCACGATGGCAAGAACATTGTCGATCAGATTGAGATGGGCTACTCGCAAATATTATGGTTGTTGCCGACTGATGTGACGGCAAAGGACTACTACGTAACGGAGGTTGGTAAGAATGGCCGGGCTCACTCTCGACTGCATGTCAATAAAAGGTACGATGAACCTGTTTCTGGTATTTCGTACGCCGGATGGTATAGAAGTGACAACACCATCCTTGAGTGATGTGATCCTGCCAGGAATAACCCGAGACTCAGTGAGAAGTGCATTAGCTGGGCATCGAACCTGCGACTTGACTGCCACGACTCTTGTTAATCAGCAATGTGCCTTGCCAGGCATTACAAGTTCTGACATCTAATAATGCGCCACCTGGTATAAAGGTTTCGGAAAGAGATGTCACTATGAATGAAGTCATCGAAGCTTTCGAGACTGGCAATCTCTTGGAAGTGTTCGGTAATAGACCCCATCATCTCACAGAGTGTGCTGCATATACTAAATTGCTGTTCCTATCCGAATCATCTACAGCTGAGAAATCTCCAAGATGTAGCTTGTGCATGTTGTGAAGGATGTCTATATGATTTCATCTCGCTACATGCGCCGCCGCATACTGGCGTGATAGGTACCGGTACAGCAGCTATTGTATGTCCGGTTGATCTGATCCACTACAAGGGAAAGGATATTCGTGTACCGCGTTACCGCCTTCCCCCCAATACCTATGTCACTGATTGTTGGTAGATACCGGTTGATGAGCAAGTCGGAGCTGGCCCTATCTGCAAATTCGTCTTGGACACTGTAAGCGTCGGTAAACTATTCAGTGAAGCTGTATTATGACTACGGCGCAGATCCAACAAGCCCAGCGGGGTATCGGGGAATTCGGTGGGAGATGGTCGTCATTGTGGACACAGGATATGCGTATAACACATCCCAAATATGATTTCCGTAAAAACCCTGTTAATATCTAGTAGCACGGCACTGTATCAGATTAATCATCCTTCGAGGCTTTCTGGCAAATCAGAGACTGCAAGTTCTCTCGAGAGGGTCCAGGGGGAGGATAGCGTTTGGCCCTATCCTACGTGATTTTTAACGTCCTGTCCTATCATTATCATATGTCTAAGATTGGTCCAGTGCGAACGGTATTGCCGCAGCATCATCATGATCAGTTTTTCCCATTCTGGCAGTATTTCGCGAATTTTGTAACTTCAGTTCAGTTGACGATCTCTGGGGTGCTGCGTTGACATGTGGTCATCAACAGAAGTAGGCAAAAGGTGCGGGCAACAGAATAATCATGTTGTTGTGGCCCGGCCATCCAGTGGATGGCATCCACAGATGGTGACCGTTAGGTGATTCGGTACTGAATAACCGAAGAATCAATATAGAGTCTGCGTGAAGTTCACTGACCAGGATTTGAACCTTCGACTTCCGGACTAACCAAATGCTACCAGCATGATGTCAAGCCGGCAGCTGTCTGATGTGATGTTCGGCCGTGGGTCGGCACGACATGCTTGCACTGAGTCGTGACCGTTAGCTTTAATAAAGCTGCCTCATCTGTTTCATCGCGAACTGCTTGCTAGCCGCTCCAAGTCATGAAGAGCAGCTTTAGGGAAGACTTATTCTTGTTGGTCCCAAACGCGTTTTTGCTAGGAAGAGATTGCAATTGCAAGGCAGGACTCTCATACTGAAAACTCCTGGTGGTGTAGTTGAGGAATCCTGTAGGCTTGAGCTTCATACGAGACGTGGTAGATCACCCAGTGTGTTGCAGACCAGCCTCAAAACTAATGATAACATGTTCGGGCCTTGTAAGTCGTTTGTTGACGCACTCGTGGTGGCTAAGGAGTTTTCCCAAGCTCCTATCCCGACTGTGCCGCAAACGGCGAGAACATTGACATGTACGCGTTGCGAGTGCTGTGGCGCGAGATCCTTTGGGGCTGGCGATTTAGTCTAAGAAATGGGAAGGTGTGGCGCTTAGCCTCTGTCCGTTACCCGAGGTAACCAGTAGATCCAAGGGCTTCGATCCATTGAAAGTTTTGCCTCCTTTTGATCCTAACCCCTGCAGCTTCTAGTGGGTAGGGTTCAGCGAGCCCCACAGCATCCTTTCGAAGCTACACATCTCACGATTCTTCATAACTAGACCTTCCCATTACTGGCTGGCAAATGTGCCAAGAAAAACTACAGCTCGCATACCTCAATGGATGCAGGTTGGTTGCATCATACGTACACCTGTGCTCACGGAAATGGGCTTTCATGATTAGAATACTTCATTGGGGCTTCACCAATTACCATGGTGGATAAAACGCCGTATTACACGTTTTACATGGCCCCCACTAGTAACACGGTAAATATTATTAAAAAACATATGAAAATCTGTTCGCATCTCATACGACTACGGCATAGAAGTATACACAAAAACTCAATGCACTAATGACGCACATGAGGCCAGCAGGCATGAACTTGCGGGTTTTCACGTACCTAGAAGAGATAACTTCAAAGCTGCACACTGAGTTGCCCCACCTTGAATAGAAAAATACAGTGAGTATCAGGGCGATGGCAGCCAGGCAGAATAGGCCTGTTAGATTATCATAGGAAGAGCCAAGTTCCGCTGCAGCAAACACCAACACACCAGAGAGGGTACCGGCGATCAGAGATGGCTTGCTCTTGGCTTGGACGAAACCGATGGCCTAGCAGGAGAACAAACGAAGAGGTTTACTATTCAATTCCTGGGGGGGGAAGGACGATACAAGGCAAAGTCGAAAATTTTACGTAGTGATTCAGAACAATAACACATAGACTTAGTGACGAGTTATCATATGCTGTATGACTCAATGGACGGTCCAAGGAACACCGTTGAAGTTCACATCGACTACCCCCTCCAGGCACACGAATACAGTCGAAGTCTTACCCCGCCAACGATGAGTAGTAGGGCGTAGAAGAAAGCCTCGTCAAACGCGAATGCGACGGCACTCATATCACCAACGAATAACGCTGCATTCACCCCACCAGTCTTCATAACTATATTAAACCAGAACTCCGAGTAGATAACATATGAAACGCAACTATAAAGCCCTCCTAGCGTTAATCGCATGGACCATCACTTCTTCTTCTTATCGTTTCTCTTGGCTTCACCAGTACTGCTAGGAGCGGCCACGATGATGATAGCGATGACCACAACGCCGAGTATTGCCATTAGACCACCGGGCATAAACTTGGAGGTCTGCAGGTACCTGCTAGGACCACTCTCCAACTACTCAGACGGGGGCCCTGCCTTTTCATGAAAAAGAGCACTAATGAGCCTATCACGATGAGCTGCACTTTTCGAAGAGCTCCTCGGTACTGCGGCAAGGCCCTAGTCGATAGCGCGAGGCCGCATACCTATAGGGTAACGGGTGGGGTGACTGCCCAAGCTGGGGTTACCTACTAGTGACGCACTGATGGTTCCGGCAATGATGGAGCCCTTGGAGGCTGCCTGTACGTAACCGACTACCTGAAGACGAAAACACCGGGGTTAATGAGACTAATATGCAGCAGCTTACCCCTCCCACCGCTAGAAGGGCCGAATACACCAGGCTCGCTGAGAAGACGACTGCATCGTCGGGTTTAGACATGATATGTGCTGAAGTGATTAACTCAACTTGCAATCATTGTTACTGGGTAAACCAGCATAGAACCAGTATTCCTAGATCGGTTGAGATAAGCCATGAGCTGGCAAGTACTCCAGGTAGTAGTTAATACAATATTAATGTCGTCTTGGGGTTGACAAGAAGCAATGCATGGATGCCACCAACTAGAGAGGGGCAGGGTAGTTATAGCTTCCAGCTCGGGGCTGGGGCCCGGGAAGAGATGCAGACTGCTGGCTCAGAAGTATGGTGCTGTGCGGCCGAACTTGAGCTCAACGAATCGAGGTCCACCAATTTGGGAGGCTATAATAGCCAAGTCATCGCGATAATGACATAAGGTGCTTCAACCATGTGCAGACCTTATACCCACAGTGCTTGGTTATCGAAGATACGCCCGTCGGAGATTGAGTATTGCCCTGCATCGTCATGCTCCTCCACCTTGTTACTAACTCGATATAGGCAATGTTGATTTATGTGGAATAAATTTCATTTAGTTGGCCAGGGCTTTTATTAAAGTAGTAGTGAACTCATACTGAATGATACGTGCCACTTGGAAACTTTCCCACAATACGATGAACATTTCCGTCAACTATAGTCTACTAGAGACCGATACTGCACCCCAATGTGAGTAGTCTCAGCTCTGGTCACTTTCGTGGGTCGCCCAAATCGTCCGTCCCCTTATCGAGTCTCGAGCTAATCTTTCACGCTTTGATTTGGAAAACGGCATTGATTTGACGGAGGTTCGATCCCCAGTAAGTACATTTCTTCAGGTATTTTTTGTGAGTATCGACTGCCAATCCCAAAAATGGTTCATAGAGCGTAGACACTACTGAGATGATTGAAGGTTGTTATCATCCTATTGAATGCCTACAACCTATACGGGTACGACACCACAACAATACTTCTCCTCTCGGCCATCATCATCATCCACTGCTGCTGGTCGTACTACTGGTAGTAAGGAGGAGCAGATACAACGACTAAAGCAATTGTTGGAGATGATGAAGAGCTTACCAAAGGGGGAGTAATACCGTGGGGGGTGGCATCATCCATGCTCGACGTCATTTATATCTGCTATCGAATGCGTTTCGCTGTATAATTGCCGTCTTTGTCAGTGTCACCAACGAGGATGGTGATAAGATTGTTGATATCGAGGAGAAGCTAGACGATACCAAGGCGCCAGCCTCCAAGGCCCCTCAAGTGGCTTCTGTCTCATCATCGTCATCGGCAGCAGTCGAAGAAAAGGAGATCGAGATAAAACGGAAGGAGATGGTTAAGTGGTGGGCAGCTGTAATGGAGGAAACTCCGTCTTATAATGAGCCCGACTATGATGAGAGGGAACTGCACCAAGGGGCTGAGGCAATGCCAACGACTAGCAACACCACAGATCGGGTACCTGAAACGACCACCACCACTGATGCCTTCACCGGTACTGTGGCTGAGCATGGAGAAAATAAGGTGGAGAAAAATGAAGATGCGCCCAAGCGGATGTCGAAATTTAAGATGGACAGAGCAGCTAAGAAAGGCTTTGGCGGGATGTTCGCGGCCCGACACGGTATTCCAATGGGAGGCGGGCAGAATTCCCAACCCGGGGAGTAGACGATTTCCTATTCGCTTCCTACGTTTTGGGTTCCAAGTGCTATCAATTTGGAACAGCATTTCGATAGGATTGTTTGCATTTGGTGATGATGTTAGTCACCGATGAGCAGCTCGAGAATATCAGAGGACGTGTGGCCTCGTGGATGGTTGCTTGTGATGGCTCCCATGATATGGCGCATGTTGAGAGGGTCGTAGCCACTGTTAAGGAGATCTATAGCAAGGAGAAGGAGGAGGTGCGTTGTCAATCGCAGTGAAATGACGTTGTTATCATCACGATGATATTCAGATGGCTGTAAATGCCGATCTCAATCTGTTGTTGGCAATTGCTTACCTGCATGACACATTTGATAGGAAGTATTGCGAGGATACGGAGGCCAGGGCCCGGGAAATTGTGGGGGAACTCACAACGGGACCCGAGGCTTTGTCTGAGCCGACTGCCAAATTTATCATCGATAGAATCCATAACGTAAGCAGCTACGCTGGGATGTGACGTAGAGGATCTTTCAAAGCTAAAGCAAGTTCACAGTCATGGCCCGTAGAGTAGGTGAGGTGGATCGGCTGATAATAGTAGTCTAATATCTCGATCCTATGGTGATGATGTCGTGGGAGTTCCCTTGTGTCGTCTACATTGCTTTGTATACTCCTCGTCAATTCGTGTTAGTCGTTTAGTGTTTTTTGCTAACAAAATGTATAGGAGTTCACGTTCAAGACTCCGAGTTTCATCAAGTCTGCTAATACAAAGTCATTCAGAATTTGTTATATGTGTGCTTTAGATGAGCTACTCCGCCGAGTTGAAGAATGGCATTAGTGAAGAAGTAGCCGTCGACCCCTACATAGCCATCGTACAGGATGCTGATAGATTAGACGCTATTGGGGCTATTGGCATTTGCCGGTGAGCTGGGAAGGTACAGTGGAGGAAGGGCACTGATCATTGCTTCAGATGCATGGTGTATTCGGGGGCCAATGGTCGTCCTATTGTTAGTGAGGGTGGGGAGGAGGAGATGAAGTTGCGACAAAAGTTTGAGGAGAATCCCGACAGTACGAAGCCTTCTGCAGTTGAGTAAGAATTATACGTCCATGCATACACGGTGGATAGTCGGACAGACATTGGATATCAATTAATACGTACCATCAATTTTGTAATTATCTTCATAAAATTTAATATAGCGTTTTATTGATATAATCAGTTACTTCAATACAATACTGTATTTTGTGAGATAACCATGTCTCATGTTATTGCTATCCCTTGGCATGATCAGATACGCGAAGAAGAGTCGGTCAGCAGTTGCCCACTTCTACGAGAAGTTGCTCCAACTAAAGGAGAGTATGAAGACGCGGACGGGCGGGGAGATGGCTGAGGAGAGGCATCAATTTATGCTTCAATTTCTCGATCAACTATTCGACGAAGTTAAGGGTGTCAAATGAATTAATACCATCTCTTTCCCATATCATATTGCTGCGAGTTGAAGTCATGACGGTATCGCATTCAGTCGAGTGTTCATTTGATATGCACATCAGGGGTAGCCGAATTCTGATGTATCCAACCGGATCTCCCAACATCCCCACGGTTCGGTTCGAAAAGATTTCGTGAAGTGCGGGACATTTAATGTTGATACTAACCACTCCTTCCCCAAATCAGTGACCCCCCATCACTAGGAACAACGAGTTTTAGACGTGCGTGCTCAGCGTAAAGCTAATATCCCGAATCTGGTAAGGATCCTCTTATGCACTTGTCGTTTTCTGTTAGTCGTGTATTGTTCCCTCATATTTACGAAATGTATAAGGATATGAGTTCGGCATTCCATGTGTCATTGATTCTCCTAACACATACGTAATCATTCGAGTTACAACATCAATACAACAGCACTTGACGAACCAACATCAATATATGACAGAAACGCGATATTCATAAACATTCATGACCATTCGCTCGGCACACTAGTAGTCTCAGCAGTCGGGATCTTCACTGAACTACCGACATCCTCGGTGGGCTCCTCCGACTTAGTCAGCGGTATGGACAAGTCAGGCTTCGTCTCCTTCATCACCTGGTGATGCATTGATATTATTGATATCTGAACTTATACTAACCTGTGATGCGACAATGTCCCGCAGCATGAAGTCCGTCCTCGCAGTAGGGCAGGGCAAAAGATAGTCACATGACTCGAGGATCTCAGGATGTTCGCTAAGCTCTCGATTCGTCGCCACCATCATGACGGGAACATTGATTTGCTGACAGCGGAGCGAAGCTCTGTATTAACCGATTCTGTGAAATTAACTACATGCAGGGCTTTGATGTAAAGCACGGGATCTAGACACATTATGAGGTGATAGTGGGCTGATGCTGTTGCTATGACCGACATGTCCATGCGTGCTAATACCAACTTTATTGTAACTTATGGACTAACACCGCTACCTTTCGAGAACTGAAGACCTTCAAAATGGTTCTTCCAGCTGACCCCTCCTTGGTTCTTGTTACCTGAGCTTCTACCATCACATTGACATAGTTGCTAAGTGACGTACCGATAACCAATACAGGAGCATTGTTCTCCTTTAACAACTTGAGGAACTTGAAACTCCTCTTATAGTTAATCAACATAGTGTACGGATCTGCTATGTATTGGACCGTCACTTTGTTGGATATTCGATTGAAATTCATAGTGGCAAAAGATCCTGACAGTGTGGTATGTATGGACTTGAAAGCAACAACCATTCGGAATCGACAGAACCCGTGTTAAACAGTAGAGCATGTTAAAACATTAGATACCAATTCAAGTGGTTGAGACGGGAAGGAGCTGGAGCAGGGGAGGAGTCTATAGGCCTTCATATTGTCTACTCACG